GCCTCTCCCAGTCGCCTCTGCCCCCGCCGTCCCCCTACCCCACCGCCAGCGGGAAGAACCCTGTCATGATCCTCAACGAGCTGCGGCCGGGGCTCAAGTACGAGTTCCTCTCGGAGAGCGGGGAGAGCCACGCCAAAAACTTCGTCATGGCTGTGGCCGTGGACGGTCAGACTTTCGAGGGCTCGGGGAGGAACAAGAAGCTGGCCAAGGCTCGGGCGGCTCAGTCGGCCCTGGCGTCCCTGTTTAACATGCAGCTGGACCAGACCCCGTCCCGCCAGCCCATCCCCAGCGAGGGGCTCCAGCTGCACTTGCCACAGGTGAGAGAAACCCTCGGGGTGCTGGTGGTGGCTTTGGGTGATGACCAAGAGAGGAGCCGAGCCGTGTGTACTGAGTCAGCTCTAACAGCATTTCGGCTGTTTATTCTGCTTCTGTACAGCTGTATGTGCATATAAATATATATCTATATGTAATGTTTATATATGCATTAGGTGATTTATCTGCTTATGGATTCTGACAATTTGATGAGCTCTTTGTATTCTCTTGCACACAGAGGAGGCTTTGTTGGTGATGTTTTCAGCCTCGATCATGTCACGTAGGAGACCCCCAGCCCCAGTGCAGTGCCAGCTTGGATTAGGGTTTGTGCTGAGGAGAGGTTGAATCGCATCTTGCCCGTCTCAGGCAGCAACAACTTAGATCAAGCTCAATTCAGATTTACTGCTTTAAGTGAAATTACTATTTGATACAACAGTTCTTAGCGGAGAAGAAAATTGTTCTCTCCTGCAAACAGAAATTGTTGGTGTGAACAGAGCTGAGTGATGGAAGTCAAGGTCAGATTAAGTGAGGCTGATGCAGCTGCCACTGATTTCCAGGGTCTGAACACAATCCAAGTGCGTGTGTCCAGGATGTGGAGTTCAATAGCTGTCATCTGAGGGGTTGTGCTCTAAGCAAATGAGTTAATATGCACATGGAAGTTACTTAGGCAAGTAAATCTTGGGTGAGAAGGAATTTAAATTGAGTAATTAATGAACTAGGAAAAATATCAAACATACCAGGCATAGACCAAAAATTTAAAGTAGATAGAATGGAGTAATTTTTATTTTTCTAATGAAGAAAAATTCTCCCATGTTTTCTTGGTTGTGTTTATTACGAGAATTTGAAGGTCTTGACCTTTTCTACCTAAAAAACATTGGTTTAGATTTCATAATGATTTTAAGTTTATATGTTCTGACTATGTTGTTTTCTCAAAATGAGTGGACAATATACATATTTTTGAACTTCCTATATGCTTTCTTTTTAATGTTGCACAATCATTGTGTTACTAATATTTCCTTCATTTTCAAATCCAGGATCATGCTATTTTGGGTATTAAAATTTCTTCCGTAGATTCAGGAATTTCAGACTGCATTCTGTGCTCTGCTTTTAATGGTGGATTTGATCCCGGACACCAAAAAAATGTCACTGCCAGTAATTAATGTGTTATTTAGTCTTGAATCAGTAAAATGGTAAAAACTGGAATAGGGAAGTGTGCAAAAGCCCGAGCTGAGATGGGAAAGATCTACATGGGTGCTGCCTCGTGTAGAGCTGATTTCAAGTCCGTTGTTTATTCAGGGGCTTTAGTTCCACTTGTCTTCAAGATGTCATCATCCTTTCTGCACTTCTCTGTGTTGGATTGCTTTGCTTTTAATTATAATTAGCCACTGAGTTATTGGAATGATATCAGGTCTGTTACATATTAGTGATTTTCATCTGGTATGTATTCGATTATTCAAGCAATTGTGGTGTTTTCAGGTATTTATTTATTTATTTATTTATTTATTTATTTTAAAAGCCTGTGAGATGTTTGAACTTTTTAGACTCTTCTGCTGGGGAAAAGAGCTGAGGAAAAACTCGAATACCAAATGCCTAGGGGTAATAATAGAAGTGAGAGAAGTGGATAGAGCGAGAAGTGTCGAGAGGAAAGGTGATCCCTGTGACAGGGGTGGTCAGGGGTATGGCTGAAATGCACATCTGTGATCCCACCAGTTACCTCCTGCTGAGGAAATGAAGTGCAGAAATGCTCATGCAAGGTGTCAAATGGTACAGAAGGGCAGTTGCAATCAAAAAGCAGGTATGGTGTGTACAGTCTGTACAGGCAGTAAAAATGCCCCACTGAAAAAATCAGCACTCGTGCATTTATCACCGTGGCAGCGGCTGTGTTAGGATTGAAAAGGTTGTCAGACTTGCATCAGAGAGACTTGCCTCTCCAAAGCAAGGAAAATATTTTTATGGTTAGCTCTGCTCTGTGAATTGATCATAAAATCATCGAGTCACAGAATGGCTTAAGTTGGAAGGGATGTTAAAGGTCATCTCGTTCCAACCCCCCTGCCATGGGCAGGGACACCTTCCACCAGCCCTGGTTGCTCCAAGCCCCATCCAACCTGGCCTTGGACACTTCCAGGGATCCAGGGGCAGCCACAGCTTCTCTGGGCAACCTGTGCCAGGGCCTGCCCACCCTCACAGGGAAGAACTTCCTCCCAATATCCCATCTAACCCTGCCCTTTGTCAGTGGAAAGCCATTCCCTCCTGTCCTGTCACTCCATGCCCTTGTCCAAAGTCCCTCTCCAGCTTTCCTGGAGCCCCTTTAGGCACTGGAAGGGGCCCTGAGGTCTCCCCAGAGCCTTCTCCTGGCTGAACACCCCCAGCTCCCTCAGTCTGTCTCCAGAGCAGAGGGGCTCCAGCTCTTGGAGCATCTCCAGGGCCCCCTCTGGACTCAATCCAACAGGTACCTGTCTCTTTTGTGCCGAGGGCACCACAGCTGGATGCAGCACTGGGGGGTGGGTGTCTCACAAGAGCAGAGCAGAGGGGAAGAATCACCCCCCTGAACAACCACCCTCACCTTACCTCCCACCCCTCAATGCAAGGAGCCACAGGATGTACCAGGGGCTCTAAAATGCTCCCTTGGGCTTCCTAATTCCTTCATTTTGGATGTCTTTATCACCTCCCAGGGACCACATGCTTTCTCTCCTTTGTTTCTTTGCCCTTAGACGCTCCCTGCTTCCCAAGGAAGGCTGGAAGGGGTCTCACACCTCTGTCAGAGGTGAGACAGTGCCGTCCCTAAAAGACTCAGACCAGCACCAAATGCTTTGGGGAAAAAAACTGAGGAAAGAACACGTTGGTAGCAGTAATTCCCCAGTTTATGCTTTGAACTGTCAGCAGTGCAGGCTGCTGGCATCACTCAGGGCAGTGTTTTCCATCAGGTGGTGGGAGCCTGCTGGTGGAGCTGTCACCTCTTTAGGCCACTGATGGCCTCTGTTAGAAAGCTTGTGTGGAGGTTTTCCTAATGCTGTTTCCCAGATTTCCTCAAACTGCTTGCTTAAAAAGATAGCTGATTAGTCAGGTTGTGCAGAGAGGTGGGAATGGGAATTGTAAATATTGAGGCTTAAATAGGGAGTTAAATACAGACCGTTGTGAGGGAAATCAAGTTGAGCTACACAAGTGTAAGCAGTGTAGCTGCAGATGAGATAAATTTGAAAAAAACTTCACTAAAGGGAGTATTTTTAATCATTCACGTGACTCCATTTATTCAGTTTATCCTTTATATTGTTGTGGACAGACATTGAAACCAAATGTTAAGCGGGAGAAATGGAAACCAGTACTGCAAGGGCTACTTGTACTTGAAGTGCTTTTTAAAATTCTTTTAATAATTGCTGTGGAATTGGAAGAAATGTAAAAGATGTACCAGCATAAGCAGTGAGAGACTGCAGAATTTTCTTTAAATCAGTCCAGGGAACTTTGGAGCATTGTAAAATAATTACCCTGTTTTATTAGGGTAGATATGTTTCTATCTTCTCTGAATTGTGTGTGCTGGTCTTTGTTAGAGGGGAGGGCCTGGCTGACCTTTTTTTGCCTGCTGTGGAAAGTTCACATAAGCCCTAGACTATGAAGGTAAGGGAAAAAAATTTAAAAAAACTGAGGGAGAACATTTCTGCTTAAGGCATTCACTGGGAAGGTGAGACATGAGTTTAGTTTCTGTTCTGATTAATATTTATTTACGTGAAAGCCAGTAGAGTGAGAGTGAGATGTGCAAGATCCCTCCCCGGGCCTGGGACTGTGGAAACAGCTTCAAGTCCTTGGTTTTGAGATGGGGACAGCAAGGGCATCGTTTTTTGGCCAGTAGGTTTTGTTCCCAGTAATGCACTGGTCTGTTCATCACTTGCTGTGTTCCCATTTCCTCTGTGCTCTTGACTGTCAGTGTAAGAGACTGCCTAGGAGAGAAGGATAATTCTTCTAATTTATTGGGTAAGTATTCTTATAAAAGACCAAAGTGACTTTAGTGGCTACATCTGTAGGTGTTTAACAGTGTTTATTCCTCATCACCCAGCTGCTGTCACGCAATTTGAGTATCACATTGAAAGAAAAAGCCTTTAATATACCTGCCTGGGTTTTGGCAGTGATTTCACCCCGCTCCCCTCCAGTTTCCTCCTGGATTGTTTGCATCTCCAGTGGTCATTTTGTCACGCTCGAGTTCTGCCTGGTTCTCCTTATCAGCCCTCCCCACTGCCTGGCTCCACATTCATCCGAGTGGTTTTTGGTTTCCAGCAGCCCCATCCCCTTCTGCTGCACCAGCTTCCATCTTCCCAGGGAGGCCTCCTTGTGTTCTCATTTGTCTACCAGTGCCACAGTTTTCCTCTGCTTTGCTTGTTATGTGAAGAAAAAGCTTTTTTTTTTTTTTTTTTTTTAGATTTTACCATTGCCTGGTAGTTTGTCAGCTGCCAGCCGTGTTCTCCTGTTCAGCACCTCACAGTGTAAGGCAGAGCAGAAAGCACATGGATTACAGAAATGAGAGCATAAAGCTTGCAGCTGGAGAACAGTATCCATAGTTATGCAGTGAGATGATGGATAAAACAGTGGCAAGGGGACTCTGTGCCTTGACCCTGCAGTGATGTGCCCATGTGGCTATAGGGAGGTTAATAATTTAAACTCTTTTTGTATTAATTTTCCATTTTTAACGCCAGGGTGATTAAAAAAAAAGCCCTAATTATTTGCACTCTTTTTCACGTATTTACCTTACGTTCAACTTTTTGCATTAGGTAAGTACTGGCACAATTAAATGCAGATTTAGTGCGTGGTTGTTGTGCTGTCAGAGCATGAACTCAAACCCAGTTTTGTGTCCAGCGACAAAAAGACCTAGTTTGAAAATCAGTGCTTGGCCAGACAAGCCAAAAACTGTGTCCCTGAAAAGTATAGTTAAGCTTCTGAGTTGCAGTCCATTCAAATGCATCAAGAAAATTGGTGTTTTGCCATGTCAAGAGTCTTCTGACTCTGCCTTGGACACTTCCAGGGATGGGGCAGCTTCCCTGGGCAGCCTGTGCCAGGGCCTCACTCATCCTCTGTGTGGCACTGGCAGGTGTGACAGAGCGGTGTGTGACCCTGTGGGCCAGGTGTGTCCCCCAGGACATCTCGGGCACTGCTGGCTGTCAGCACGTGGTCGCCTTGGCTTTGGTTTCTTTTCATGTGAAAATCCAACAGTTTGGTCTCGTGACTGTTCAAGTTTTCCTGGAGGTGAGAAAGAGAAATCCTTCCTAATTCTGAGATAGCTTATCTGGGGTTAAATTTTCTGTTCCTAATTTTGTGTGGGCCCCGTAAAAGTAAGAAATAGAAAGTGTTAAACCAGTGATGAAAGCAAAGCCGTCCTTATTTATGTAACAGCTGGATAAGGAATTAGATTGTTACAGGAGGTTGGTTTGAAGGGCCTGGATTTTTCACTTCAATCTTCTTGTCAGGTCCAATTTTGAGGATGCTGAAATGATGCATTTTGAGGTTTGAGCATGAGAGTATAGACTTATCTGTCTATCTGGTTGTTCTCCTAAGCCTCAAATGTTCATCACAGTCATGAGCATTAGGTGCTTTGATGCTTGGCTCAGGGCTGTCTGACCCCGTTTCAGCAGATGTGGAGCACACAAACCTCTGCTTCCACTTGCAGAGAGCTGCGAGTGATACCTCAATGTCCATTTTTAAAGTGAAAAACTAAAAACTCGTTTCATTTATTTTGTCCAGTCTCTTCAAACTGTAAGTTTTTATAACTTGATGCTCCTGTAATTTTAATTTTTTTTTTTTAATTTCAATTTTTCTGACATGCATTTCTGTGTGATCCCCCAGGTTTTAGCTGATGCTGTTGCACGCTTGGTTGTAGATAAATTCAGTGATTTGACTGAAAATTTCACATCTCCGCATGCACGTCGAAAAGTTCTTGCTGGAATTGTCATGACAACAGGTAAATTAAAAAAAAAAAAAAAGTAGTACTTTAACTGCTTAAGCACAAGAATTCTCTGTTTGCATTCTAGTAAACTACCTTTCTTCATTCAACTGGTATTGAAATATGTTTTTACTGTTTAATCTTGAAGGTGGGCTCAATGTAATAAATAAATCTCAACTAAAGATATTTACTGGAAAGTTAGACCTGCAAATACTTCTGTTTCCACAGAGTTCCAGTTTCCTGCCTGATTGAGACATCTGAGTAGCTCATGGTGTACAAAATGTAGCTTTTAAAATGAATCATGAAACTTTTGAAAAATAAATAAGTTTCTCCCCGTCAGTCGTGCAGATGGCACTCTTGGTTTGGGCCTATTATGTGAGAATTATGCCCCTTTCCAAGTTTTTAAGGTTTTGCACTTCGTTATTCTTGCTATTTTTTATTCTTAGTGCTTTATGTCAGTTATTTTAGTAAAAATATCTGAAGAAAGCAGCTGAAGTTGTGGCAGATGGCAGTGGTATGCACGTGCAAGCAGTGGTGTCGTGGTTCCCTGGTTGCTGACGCGAGATCTGTGCTTGTCCAGATCTCCCAAAACAGTGAAGTTCTGCCCCAAACTAATCTCCAGCCACACTGCTACTGAATTTTCCTCTTGCTAAGGTTGATCTCGGTCTTCAATCCATCTGAACCCTGGCTTGGACATTCATTTTGAGCCTCTCCCAGTGCTGTCCCAGCTGTGTCCCCTCCTGGTCTCTTGCCCACCCCCAGCAGGTTTGGGAGGCCTTGATGCTTCTCAGGCACTGCTCAGCAACAGCCAAACCTCCACCTGCTAACAAACACTGTTTTAACCCCAAATACAAAGCACTATGAGGAACATGGTGTCATTTTGTTTAATATATTTTGTGGCACTTGAAAGGTTTTTATCTAATTACAGCCCTGTACCTGCAATTCCCAGAAGAGCCACAGCATCAAGACTTAATTAACATGTGAATATCTTTGGAATAACTGAAGAAACAGCTTTACACAGAATTAGAAAACATCTTTGCATGGATACATGTCTGAGGAACCTCTGGAATGAGATAACCCTGTTGCAAAGCTGTGTGTTGCAACTCCTTGCTTCTCCTCCAGCCCTTTGGGCAGGAGGGGCCAGCTGGGCTCAGGCTCTTTTTTTTTAACTTGTTGGGCTTTTTTTTCCTTGAGTGTCTTGCTAGGTGACATTTTGACCTGTCTCTTTGAGTCCTTCATGCAGCTGGGGTTTTTTGAGTGAAAAAGGCAGTTCTCTCTATAGAAAACATCCACCCAACATGTTTTTTCAAGTTCTGTTGTATGGGATGGTTCAATACTAAGAACTACACATTATACTGCTGGTAATCATTACAGTGATTTAAGCATTTAAATTTCTTCATTCCCTAGTCTTGCCTTTCTTGTTGTTTAGTTCAGTGCCCTTCTGTAACGTGCTGCTGCTTTAATAAACCAGTGCCTTTCAGATTTCTAAAGTCACTGTGGATGTCTGCATAGGTGGCCAGAAGGTACGTGCTGAAAGTTGCTGGCTGCCTGAACCTCAGGAGAAAAAGCACTTTGGGCTTCAAGCTTTAGTAACTCTTCCTGAAGCAGCATTTTTTTTTCCCTGGAGGTTTTCAGTTTTTAACTTGCCTTGTTAAATGAGCGAACACCACCACCAAAAAAAGAGCCTTGTTTAGGTTCTGCAAGAAGGTCTCTCCATATGTTATTTGTGATGTTAACTGCATCTTCTTCCCGAAATTTTGTTTGGCAGGTACAGATGTGAAAGATGCCCTTGTAATAAGTGTTTCTACAGGAACAAAATGTATCAATGGTGAATACATGAGCGACCGTGGTCTGGCATTAAACGATTGCCACGCGGAAATCATAGCTCGGCGGTGCCTGCTGAAATTTCTCTACACACAACTTGAGCTTTACCTGAGGTAAGCTGGAGGGACAAGGAAGATGAGCTGAAAACCTGTCCATGTAAAACATCTGTCTTCATTATTCCAGTGGGAAACGCTTGTCCTGTTGCGTCACGATGGTGAATGTAGAGCTTGGGCCCTCTGCCCTCGAGTTTGACTTCCAGCAAAACGTTTATTAATGTTTATTGTCTATCATGAAAGGGGAGAACAGGAAAAATAATTGGGAATCATTTTGTAAAACTGCAAACATATAAATCAAAATAATATCAAGTGGCCTAAAAGGTGCTGGTGTTTTATTTGCTGGTAAGTGCCTGAGAGCTCTTGACATCTGGAGATGTTTCTTGTCTTGATGGTCCTTTAGTTTTGTTAATCGTAATAACTGTTAGATTAATATTACAAAGTTTTCAGTCATCCTGTGTTTGTTTTTAATGCCTGTTTAGGCTGCCCAGCTTATGGCTATTTCCATATTAATGTCAGTGTTGACTTAAGCTTTCTTCTCTGTTTCAGCAATAAAGAAGATCAGCAAAAATCCATTTTTATCAGATCAGAGCAAGGCGGGTTTAAGCTGAAGGAGAATGTGCAGTTCCACCTCTATATCAGCACATCTCCTTGTGGTGATGCTCGGATTTTCTCCCCCCACGAAGCAGCACAAGAGGGTATGACAGCAGTCCTCCTCATCCCCAGGGAGCTTAAATTATTCCTGGAGCATGTACCAGTGGCACGGTTAAAATTTAGGTGTTTTCTTTCCTTTTAGCATAGAGGTGTGTTAGACAAAGATCTCTTGCCAAAAAATCTGAGCTGTTCTTCCTCTGTGGTAGAAGTTCAGTATAGAGTGATGAGCCCTGTGGTCTTGAAGAGGCTGGTGCTAACTGAGATAAGCCAGTGAGTCAGCAAGTATTCCTACAGAACTAACCATCCCCTTTCCCCGTTTCCATCCTTTAACTGCGGTGCCCCTTGCATGGTCTGCCCATTAACCTCATTTTAACCCCGTAACACACACAGCAGAGCTGAAGAGCTGCCTGCTGCCTACTGCTCCTGTGCCAAAAGCGTGGTTTGACTGCAGGTGTGTCCTGGAAGGCAGTATTTGTGAGAGGTATCTGATGCTGTAGCTAAATTTGCCAAGAGCAGTAGGAACTACGATGCGAGAGAGTGGTAACTGCAGACAAATACCTCAGATCAATTCTCCTTACTGCAATTCTGTCTGTAAAACCCTTTGGGAATGTTCCTCAGCTGACTCTAAGTGATTTTTGTCCTTCAGATCAAGGGGACAGGCATCCAAACCGCAAAGCCAGAGGACAGCTGCGGACAAAGATAGAATCTGGGGAAGGGACCATCCCCGTGCGCTCCACGACCACCATCCAGACGTGGGACGGTGTGCTGCAAGGAGAGAGGCTGCTGACCATGTCCTGCAGTGACAAGATAGCAAGGTGAGACGCTCAACAGTTGGTTTCTTTGCTATTCGTTTTTGTTCCTGAAGAAGGGCATGTCACAAGGGGGAACGGCCTTGAGCTGAAGCAGGGGCAGGGTTAGGTGGGATACTGGGAAGGAAATTCTTCCCTGGGAGGGTGGGCAGGCCCTGGCACAGGTTGCCCAGAGAAGCTGTGGCTGCCTCTGGATCCCTGGAAGTGTCCAAGGCCAGGCTGGACGGGGCTTGGAGCAACCTGGAATAGTGTATGGGGTTGGAACAATGTGGTCTTGAAGGTCCCTTCCAACCCAAACCATTCTGGGATTCTAACAAGAAAGGGGGGGTGTGGTGGTTTATGGTACCCACATTATCTCATTAGACACAGTGTGAGGGTGGCTGTCCTTCCTATGATAAATCTCCCAATTCTTCACCTGCAAGTGGTGTCAGACCCTCTGCTGGCTTCATAGGCAAGGTGAAATCAGTCTGTATTGTTCCAGCCACATGAAGTCATGGCAGCTTTGTTTTGTGTTTGCATCACTGGGGAAGAGCAGAGGAATGTTTTAGATTTTTTTTCCCCCCGCTGAAGTAGCAGAGCATTATCAGAACAGTACAATAAATTTATTGCATTATTTAGATTGCTTCCTCCTATGAGATACACCCTTGCCCCATCACTGGAAATGTTCAGAGTCAGGTTGGGTGAGGTGTGGAGCAACCTGGTCTAGTGGAAGGTGTCTCTGCCCATGGCAGGGGGTTGGAATGAGATGGTCTTGAATGTCCCTTCCAGCCCAAACCATTCTGGGATATCCAAGATGCCTACATTTTCCATGCATAGATTAGATTTTTATTGTTTTGTACAGTGAAAAGTTATCTCTATTTGAAAAATGTTAATTGATAGGCACTTCTATTTTTTAGCTTTAAAAAATATTTCAATTTTAGTTTAAATAGTTTTATTTATTGTGATTAAATATTTTGTATCCAGAACCAGTACTTTAATTTATATTTCATCCAATTCCTTCTTTGTTGTCTTTTTTGACAACTATTGAGAGATTTTATGTCGTTATTTTCAAATTCATAAATGGACAAAATAACTTAGCAGTAGTATCCTTTAACAAGTAGGGGAGAGTTGCAGCATAATTTTTTTTAATGAGTCTGTGTGTTTGCAGCCTCTGTGCTCTTGCAAAACGGATGAAAAATGCCAAATTTTTCAGCTAATGACATTTTAGTTATTTTTCAATTGTATATATATTATATATACTTTAATTCAAATAGCTCTGCTGTTTTCTGAAGTCACAGCCTGATTCAAAATTTATTAAGGGCATTAAGTTGGAAATATTCTCGTGAACTGCCTATGCCAAATCAAAAATGGAGGAGGAAAGTTATGTAATGGCTTTGTTCCTTTAGTCTTGTCTCAAGTAATCAGCATCTCTGCTGAAGGAAAACATTTTCTTTTCATTTAAATCTCCCTACTGTAAATGGATAGGGCCTTTCAGAAGCTAGGACAGGCAGATGTGAAAAGGTAACTCTGCAAAACTGACATTTCAGCTGCTTTTATAATATTTTCAATAAAATTCACCGAATAAACTCCCCAGTTTCACGCCTGGGACTTCTTCCAAACATCTGACATGGTATTCATGCCACATTCTCTTAGCACATTGTCATTGCGAATATATATATATATTAAAAAAAAAATAAAAATGCAGCCAGTTGTTGAGCTAGAACACATTTGACTCTTTTGTTGATTTTGTGTGATGCAGAACAGAATCCATCTCTCGCTTCCGTAGCTAGCTGTCACCTCTCCTTGGGGCTAATGGGAATAATTTTGTTTGTGCCAGTGAAGGAAGCAAATAGAACCCCTTGACACAGAACAAAGACTGTATGACGGGTAAGGAGGCCCAAATTTTCATATTCTTTTTTTTCCTTTCTTTTTTTTTTTTTTCTTTTTTTTTTGACATTTCCCTGACGTGTTTTGTCCATTTACATTTGAAAGAATGCCTTGCTCTGTAGTCTCCAGCCACCAGTCCTCCAGGATACCTCAGGCCTGCTGATTTCCACTGAGCTTTCCCAAAGGTTCTCAGTCACAGCCTGGAAAAGGTGTGGATAAATTCGGGGCGCAGGGTTGCACTTGTGTCAAACCCCTTGTATCTGAACTGCCTCATCTGTGGGGATTATTTGTGTAATAATCCAAGTTGCTGCCTCTGAGTGCTTTACCTGCAAAGTGCTGCCCAGCACCCTCCTGGAGCCAGTAGGAACATCCAGGAAAAGTTGTGAGAAACGTAAAAGGGCCACGAGTGTAATCCCATTTGGGTTGGAAGCATTAAAACAGGGTTACCCTTGGTGTGTTAGTGCTTGGTGGCTCTCCAGCACAGTGATTTCTGTGACCAGAGTAACTTTTAATGGACATGGGTTTGTTTTAAGTGTATCCTGACCTTCTTCCATGGTACTGATGCTGGGCTTTGTCATTCTCCTTTTGGTATATGTTTTTTTCTGCCCATATTTTTGGTTTCAAACAATGACTTGACTTCTCATGGAAACATCCCAGTCGTGGTTAATGTCCTACTGAGAACAGCAAAATTCCTTTTCACCCAGTTTCTCTGGTAGGAGGGAATTGAGAAGAACTTTTTAGGTTTGAGTTGGTAAAAGGGAAGTCATTGGTGCTCTTCTGCTTTAAAGAAGAGAAAATATCTTTCTGATGGTCTTTAGGCCTGTCCACTGGCCTTGTTTTGTGCTTATTCAGAGTGGGAAATCCAAATGGAAGTTTGTAACTCAGTCTTTCTCTGTTTTTCCCCACAAGAGAGAGCAGTTCTCACCAGCTCTTAGCCCGAGTGACACTGGCCAATGTGAATTGCAGTGGCCACTTTGATCCATGGTTGGCTGGGTGGCACTTGTGTAAAATACCTGAGGGAAGGTGGTAAGAAACAACTACCTAGCTTAGGTACAGCTACAAGGGGAAACACTTCTTCTTTTCTGTAGTTGCATGTCTAAAAATATGTTTGTGAGAAGACCATGGACTTCTTGCACTTACTGATCTGTAGTGTGGGCTGCTGACACAGTCCTAAAGATATTGCTGCCTGTTTACAGGGTGGCTTGTGAAGAGCATGGAATGGGCACAGAGATTCAGTTCATCTCTTAAGGAAAAAAAGGAGAAGTGGGGTTTAAAGTGATGCCTCGTGCATGTCAGGAGGCCAAGTGCTTTCTGGGCTAGTCCAGCACCTCACACAGTGATAGCTTCTCTCCCTTGTTGCAAGTAAAAGCTTTGTAAAAACAAAGTGCCTACTAAATACTTTTAATTTCTATGTAGTAGTTATTTATAAATAATATTGACAAGAGCAGCTCTTTGGACTGTAAACACTTGTCAGGTTTTGCTTGGTTAGTCGCAGGAGGGTCTTGTTTTGCTGAGATAAATTCTGACACCAGTTCCATGTGGACACCGTTGTGGGTCACACACAGTGACTCACCTCTTCCATGCTGCTGTCTGCAGAAAAACCAGTGAGAGTGATACTAAGACATGTGATATTATCATCAAGATTTGTGACTTACTGCTGTTAGCCCCCCCCAAAAAAACAAAACAAAACAAAGTTCAGAGGAGAGTTTTTAGCTGAAGCATTATATTTTTAGCCTTTTGGCAAGAGGTGAACCAGCACACTGTGAAAGTGTTGCTGCAGAGTTAACTTTTACTTACCTTTTTGGGTATCAGGAGTTGTGAAATCAGCTGCATGTCATGAAGAAATCAACAGGCCTTCTAGAAATCCACTGTAGATACCTCTGAGCAGACGGTGGTCCAAAGCAAAAATGTGACAACATAACAAGAAAAGACACCTCTTGATTTGGTGTCAGTCTCTGGTTTCTCTACTCTCTTTTTTTTAGTGTAGTGTGATTGAGAACAGCAGAAAGATTGAGGAAGTGTATCCATCCATCCTCCAGGCTGTTATCAGCAGGATCTAGAGTAGTGAGTAAAGAATAAGAAAACCAGTGAGTGTGATAAATGTGTAAAACTCAGGTTTCCCAATGAGGTGCTCATCTGTAAGACCTCAGGTGAGCACACTACAGGGAGAGTATCCTCGGTGTAAATCATCAGGAGTTGGACACAACCCATGTGAATACATCTGCAAAAGCCAAGGTTGGGGTTGAGCCTGTAGAAGTGGTGTGGTGGTGTGGTTTGAAAGAGCATTTCCCTGGACACTTTGAGGACGAGGTAGAGGACATGGCAAAACCTTGATAACGGGAAAACCTGGTTTTTTGGTCTCCCTGTAGCTAAGCATGGATGGGGAGCTGGGAACTGTAGAGCAAGGGGGAGGTGCAGGGCACCCCAAGCTGTGCTCCCATGGTGATATCTTAGCAGCGTTTCTGAACTGAAGCAGATCTTCGTTTGCACCTGTAACTTTTCAGGTGGCTGAAGTTTTTCATGCTGAATGAAAATGTTCAATGAAAACCAGGGTTTTTATTTAAG